TGGCGTTTAGCCAACCTCCAGAGGTACGTTATGTAATACACGGAGTATTGTATAAGCTAGGCACCACGCGGTATTGAACCGGGGCCTCTATGTTGGTGAACAAGCGTGTCATCCAACTGAGACACCTTGCAGCCTTTGCTGTAGATTATATCACCATATACCATTCTATAGATTATATCACCATACACCATTACATTATTCATATAGGTGCGATCCGTTCGACGTATGAATACAGGTATAAAGTATAACTAAGTAAACCATGTATGTAGAAATCATGTATTAGTTATAGACAAAAGCCGGAAGGTGTCTCAGTTGGATGACACGCTTGTTCACCAACATAGAGACCCCGGTTCAATACCGCGTGGTGCCTAACTTATACAATACTCCGTGTATTACATAACGTACCTCTGGAGGTAGGCTAAACGCCACCAACGACAGTATGCCTACACTGTCAGAGAGCCTGTGGCGCAGCACATAAGAGCGTGTACTGTCTTTGTATGAACATTGACACCACCCTTGTGAGCAACGCAATCAACACTACGCCTGAACACGGTTTGCCTACTCCCTTGTCCAGCCATCCAACCAAATCGCATATTCAACATTGTGATCGGATTTTGAAATCGCCCGCTACCAATTTCAAATGTCATAAGTTTAAAATCTTTGTTCTAGAAGACTTCTGGTGAGCGGTCGCTCGCTTACCCCGGTTCCGTGTGCCCTTTCTCGCTGGCGTGCAACCATCTGCAGTTCCAGTAGATAAGTTTCTGTTGCAGGGAGATGGACCAGAGTGGCAAATGTCTTCGATGGGTATACAAATGGGTCCCCATTCCTATTAATGCCCAAAGTGACAAGCAGACACCCACTCTCGTCTGCCTTTGCAAGACAGCCACGCATCTTGTTTTTGAAAGTCCCATTCTTTCGTCTGTCCGAAATGAACAGTGGTTCTTTGTGACAGTCTTACTGTTCGCAGTGTTCAGCCACACATTTTTCCTTCTCTCCATCCGTATGGTCATTGAATTTGAAAGTGATCGATGCTTCGGGGTTGGATTTGAGCGGTGCATCCTTCTCGCTGCCGCCACTTTCACTCTCGGTGTCTGTGCAGGTTTTGCTGTTTTCTATGGTGTTGGGAAGATAATTTGAAACCCCCGAGTCAGAGTCGTAGATAGACATAGCAGTGATATATGTTAAGTCTATGAGGAATTAGCTACTCCAGTCGTACAACACGGACCGCGGGGGGACGTGAAGGAACTGTTCCGGGTGGTGCAACGACTCTGCAGCAGATCATTGAAGAAGCTGCTGGAGTTTGACTGTTTCTACTCGAGGGTGTTGCAGGAGGTTCATTCAGCGGTGCAGAGGGGCTTGGAGGCACTTCCAGGTCGGAGATCAGAGGATATCATGTTTGCCAAGTTGTGTGTTTCCCCTCCTGGTTGGACAAATTGATCCAACAGTGTTCCGCGGATTGCACCTTATGGGTTCACACAGTCTACGGCAGATGTGATCTTTGAGAGAAGTTTGAACTGGTAAACATCACTAGAATAATATTTTGAAGACATCACTTTATCAGCCAGGATGCTCCAGACAGTGTCCACCCAAGTAACACTAATAGAATTCTGTACAAGGCATGTTGGGCACCTCTCCTTGCCTTACCTTGACTGTCCGATAAAGGTGAACATTATTGCAAGTACGAGAAAAATACATCTGGTCAGGCTTGCAATCGATTAAAAGCAATGTTCTCAGTTGTCTGTTGGTATTGGACAGGTCTAAAAGCACCAGCAGATCTGATCTGGTCCGAACTCTCGATAAGGCATTGATTGTAGAGCTGTCCATGAGAGAATACAAGCTTCCTCAAATCCACCATGACCTTGTCCAATGTACAACTGTTGAAGGTTGTTGCGTAGGCAAGTTGAATTGGATACTGGCGGGTACGTAAGGCTGTCCAATTTGTGTGGTGATCTGAACTTGAACATGATGTGAGGTGAACGTTGCCAAAACTGTTCAAACCGATGGGGATCCAGATTGATAATCCTGATCTCGACATGATAGGTAGCCAATTCCAAAATGAGAATGTGTGTGGTGTTTACCAGACGGTGCTTCAAGGAAAGGTTCCACATTAAAGCTGCAAGCATCCCGATTCTGAGCGAGATGAAACTAGGGGTGTCTGGTTTTTGGCTTTAACAGTCAGCCATCTGTTTTTTTAGTCTACTGGAACTAACCCTCTCAAAAGTTAAACACTCTTTGATTTAACATTATTGAATAACAGACTTGTCTTATTAGAGCCACTAATAAACTGCCACTCACTCCCCACGTAGTGTGTGCTCAGCCACTCACTCGCCACGTAGCTTGTGCTCAGCCACTTACGCGATATGAACGGCTGCTTAACCCTTCCACCACCCACACCAACACAACCCACACCAGATGACTTCACACGATTCGCTGCGATGTGTCGACATCAAGATCATGGGGATGAAGTTCAGCGTGGTCGTAACCAACCCCGTCGCATTGGATGCCCACGGCGAGGATTTCAGGTATAACACCACCATTCATCGAAACACCTTATCTTTCTAACCATCCCAAACTCCAATCCCTTTCTGTCCAGCTCATTCCTTTGGCTGGTCCCACCGGGTCCCATTGGAGCCGCCGGGCTGAACCTATCCATTCCGTTCACGTTCACCTCCATGAAACCATTTGACGCCCAAGTCCGCAAGCAGAAGTGGAAGGAGTACCGTCGCAGCCTGTTACGCAAGATCATGTGGCTCATCCGTAAGTCAAAGAAGAAAGGCCATCTTTGAGCTCACCAGAAGTCAAAGAAGAAAGGCCATCTTTGAGCTCACCAGAGTTAAATTCTTGTTGTGATGTGTGCAGTGTATCTCGGGATCGTGGCTATCGGAATCACGCTGATGGTCCTGTTCTCAATGTTTGCCGGTAACACCAGAAGTTACCACAGTTTCGTCTCGGAGCCCATCTCTCTTGGCTCGGGGTTCCTGTACAAAAGCCTCGAACTGGAACTCTCCCAACACAGCACCCCGGACGTCGAATCGGTGTCGCTGTTCTCTCATCGGCCCAACGGCCATCTGAAGCAGCCCTTCGAACTCAAAGCGGAGCTCGCGTCCTACCCTTACAGCAGCAGAGCCTTCCTCGACGTGAAAACCTCGGGAGGGGTGAGCAAAGCGGCCATGATCTGCCGTGATCCTCGGATCTGATAGGGTCATTCCTTTTCTCTTTTGGCATGGCAGGAGATCGTGTTTGATTTTTCAAACGTGAAGCCGGTTCCTGGATATTATCTCACGGTCGAGTCGATGCAATCCAACGGCTGGAGATTCTTGAACGTCACAAACTACCTTCTCGAGTCTTCGTCTCCGATATATCGCCTTTCTGTTGGGCGAAACTCGACCAAGAAGAACATGGCAGTTCCAATTACGTTTTCTGCGCAACCTGTTCAATGGAACTACACGACCCAAGAGCTCCACTGGCTGGTCACCATCAGGTAGGTTCGAGATTTTTACTACTCGAACTTGCATTCCAGTATTGACTCCACGGCAGTGGGAACCTCCACGTGATCGACACATCCGATGCGAAAGCGACATGCGCAGATGCCGAGCAATGCACCTTGGAGCTCGGCGCGTTCTCCGACTGGTGGCTTTACATCTCCGGCATCTCCGGCGACCGTTTCGACTGGTTCTATATCAAGTACACCCCCCGCGTCATCGTGTTTGTGTTTGCATTCGTTTTTGCCGTGGCTATCACGGTGATCGGCCTCGCTGCCACATTCGTGCTGCTCACGAAGAACAAGAGCGCCTGGGACCTGTGGAGGGCTTACAGGTCGCGCCCTGCGGCCCGCGGCTTCGGCGGGCAGAGAGGGACGTCTACGGAGAGGCGGCGAATGCTTAACAGCGAGCCCGACGATGACGACGACGATGTAGCTGCGTAAACACTTTTTCGTATTTTTTTTTTCGCTCGTGGGACGTGTTCGCGGTTGCGATGTGTAGGCGTTTTTGTCCTGGACGTTAGCACACACGTTCTATGGCACCTTCTTGCTTTGAGTTTGATCGGTTTTTATGTTTTGTTCATTGCGTGGAGTTTGTAGCTATTTTGCAAGTGACTTGGATCTGAGCTTTCTTCTTCGATTCTTAAATGAAGGTATAAATGCCCCAATTTAACGCATCAGGATTGGCATCTCAAGAGTCACAAGTTCAAAAGATTCCCTTCGACCAAAGGAGTCATGGTGATCTCGATGTTCTCAAGGTGGACATGTGCTGGAGAGGTGTATACCCATCTACGTTCAGCAAAGCACTGTTGAACCCAGTGGTCCTGCGGTGCTATGCGGTCCTATGGACAGAAACTTAATGTTGGAAGAGCTTAATGTTGGAAGAGAAGTGGACTGAAGACAATGAGTTCACATCTTGAGCTGACTGGGCGTCGGGCGAGCACGATGGGCCACAATAGAGGTTCTGAAGTGGACTGGTGGTCTTTTACAATCGTCTGCAGCATGATGAACACCGTAACCGCACAACTCACTTACCTGGTCCCAGAAAAATGAAAACGGTCGATAAGCCAGGCGAAAAACTTCGGAAATGATGGGAACCTGCGTCGTGAGCCTCAGGAGCTGTGCTGGCATCATGTCCCGCATCAAGGATGCTAGCCGTGCAGAACACCGATACACCACCCCCACAACCGCAGCCGAAATGCACAGGGTAACTGCATAAAACATCATCGGATCTCCCCGCCCCTCGCCGAGACAAAACGCAACGTCAGGTAGAAAAACACGGCCCACCCAGACACCCAACGCCGACCCCGCAACCTTGCCATCACCATCCGTGCACACTCTCGGAACCCAATGCTAGAAATCGATCCGAAACGTTGAAGAAACAAAATATGTCAATGCTAGAAATCGATCCGAAACGTTGAAGAAACAAAATATGTCCTGCAGAGTGCCAGAATAGGTCAGAAAACGAACGTGAACGATCCTCATCCCCAAAAATCGATCAACTTCTGGTAACATTGTATTCCCTCGCCGGGAATCGAACCCGGACCATCTGGGTGAGAGCGCGGCATCCTAGGCTTTGGACCACGAAGGATATGATGTCAGCAAGTGGTTGTGTAAGCTGTTATCCCGAATCCACGAAATCGAGTTTGGAAAAAGTAGGTGGATGTACAGAAGGCATCGTCGAGCGGCCACCAAAGGGTCGAAAGACATCAACGGCGAGCAGCTCGAACGGACCTCGGCCATCATTCATGGCGCTCGAACCAAGAAGAGCCTGTCTCTAACAAATGTGAAAGGCATCATCGAAGTAGTATGTGGAGACCACCTTAGCTCTTTCTCAGAAGACGTCGAGACGACTCGTCCCTTGGATGTTTACAAATGGTCAAAAATACGATTCGAATACACTAGGCGGGGCTTCTGGGACATACCTACGGAACACGGTCGTGGGGAGACAAATGACGATCGGTGGTGATCGGTGGTGTTGGTATGAACATATTTAACCTAATAGAATAGGCCTTACCTTTGGGCCAGCAATCCAGGATATGGGCCGTTCTCTCTGGTTCTGCGAGAGGAGGATGTCGTGAGTTTGGGCTTTGATGTGACAGGGAGTACAGTGGGAGAGAAGATTCAAAATGAAGGGAGAGACATTATTAGAGATCCGCTGAGGGGCAGCACGTCACTTTGAGTGAGTGTCTCCCTGAGGGTCTTGATCCGAAGGAAACCACAGTCTCCGCATGCTCCAGTGGCAGACTATTATTCCTTGCAGCCCAGCAATTGTTCGCTTCGCACGAGGAGTTCCTGCAGCGGCCTTCCAGATTCAATCCAGTGTCAACACGCCTCCACCGCGGAGCAGAAAGGTCGAACTGAGTTCGTATCGGACCAACATTGCTCGTTACTTCCACAAATGAGATGGAGGCAGGAGCACCGCGGGCTTTCAAGCGGAGGACAACGTGCACAGTTGAATCCTGCTGGATCTGACATTCAAGCAACGTGCAATGGTCTTCAAGTTGGCGTTCGCAGTATAACAGTCGCTGTTTTTCTGCCGGGATCTTCGTTCTCTCTTGGATCAGCTTTTTCAGATCTTGCACCGTGTCACTTCGGTCAACTTCAAAGCACATGCGAGGTTCCCCGCAAGGTGCTCACGTTGATCTGTTGGCCCATTCAACATTCTATAAAGGACCGAAAACAAAAATTTTTTTGCGACTTACCGTCAGCGGACTAGGCTAGAGGAGGAGGTGTTCCACAATGAACACAAGCAGGCCTCATAAGTCAGTCAGGCTGTGGGCACGGACGTGATTGTTGCCTGGGGAGATGCTTTTGGGAGACATCCTTTCAAAGACACGCTAAGGTGCATGCTTGGACAGGTTGTAGCAGAAAGAGCGTGGGCAGAAAGACCGTCGAGCGAGCGATGACCAAGACTGCATTCGGAGCACCTCGCGACCACGTCGACGTTTCCATGCGGACGGGGAACTCGTGCTTCATCGTGATTGCACTGTGTTTGACACATTCGCAGTGTTACCATAGCATGTAAAAACTTGGAGAATCGCCTTTTGGGTTCTATATTTGCTCGAGAGCTAGCATAGACAAATGTATATATTGAGCACAATTTCTAATTTGGAAAGCATCGAGTACCGACAAAGTTTTCATGGAGTCCCGTCCGCGAACATATTGGGGAGCTGAGAAGAAAAAATAAAACACAAAAGGCAGCTCGCATGGAAACATGAATTGGGGAAATGGTGACGTAGGGTGCCATATGGACTCTCTACGGCAAGGGAGCGTAAACCAAACCCAATTGGTCGACATTGTCGCCGCTCCTGCCAAAGAAGCCGACGACGCGGTACCCGCTCGGAGCGTTGTATGACACACATTCGGAAGTAGTGGCTCCGGTTGCAACGGTTCTCCCGCCGCTGGTGACGAGCTGGAGGTAGAAGATGCGGGTGGTGTTGTTGAACTTGCCCTGGCACATGCAGGCCGAGAGACGTGCTCGTTGGAGTTCAGAGTCAGCGTGGTCGCGGTTCCACCTGTCCCGCCGTGTTTGAGTGTCTCGGTTGCAGCGCTAGCACCGGCTCTGCGGACGACCGAGACGGAATCGAGACGCTTCTCACCCGAGATGGTGAACCTGGTGACGGAGGTGGACTTTGAGACGGCACCAGTCAAGTCGGAGAACCAGTCTCCGTGCGGGCCGCCCCAGTAGTCCGAGAGACGAGCAGCAGTCGCTTCGTTCGACCAGGTGAAGGTGCCGACGATGGGGAAGTGGTCCGAGAGACGGTAGCCCGTAGGGTTCGTGAACTTGTAGTGCTCGTTGGAGTGGCTGATCGCCGTGAGCTTGACGGCGGGAGAACCCTTGTAGAAGATCTTGTCGACCACCTCGCAAGAGTTGGTGGGACGGAAATCGTCGCAAAGAATGGCGTCCGAACCCGGGGCGGGTGCACCTTGGGAGCCGTGAACCCGGCTTGGCTGGTGAGAACACCAATGTTGTCAAGTGCGCGAGTGTCTAGGGAAACAACCGGAGGTGAGATGCAATCACAGCCCACGTCCGACAGCAAGATAAACTCAGCGGCTGTTTGTGTCGCCCATGACGATCACGGCGTGACCAGCAGAGAGGGTCTTGACAGCGTCAACGACCTGCAAGATGTTCGATCGACGAGCTTCCTGGTCCTGGTCACCAGTGTCTGCATCGGTGTGCAGGTTGTAGACGTCCACAAACACTCCCTCAGCAAGGCGCATGCGCATGAACGTGTATCCCTTGGGGGTGAGGCAGTCACTGCCGTGATCGAGCCCTCCGTAGCAATCGTTCCACTTGACCCGCTCAAAGTCGGTCCATGGGAACAGCGCGATGCTGTTCAAACCCGATCCGATTCCTGCACCTCCGCTGGTTGCCGTTCGATAAGGGTGATCGTCGTTGGCGTAGATTGTCGCATGGTCTGTGCGATAAGACAGTCAGCGAGAGAAGAAAGAGGAAGGAGAGTGCCGGGTATTACAGTTGAAATCCTCTTGCATGTTGACGATTCCGTATGGCTTCAAGCGTTTTGCCAGCTCAACAACAACTTCCCACTTGATGAAATCCAACTTTTGAACTTGTCCCCACTTCAAAAAAGCTACCACCATCGGCCCCACCATCCAGAAACACTCAACAAACATCAATATGCTAACATATCTGAAAATATGATATGGTTGGGCCTGGTTATGGGGGGTTATGGGCAGGGGTAGCTTTTACAAATGGGGCCAAGAAAAGAAGTGAACTTTATTGAAATGGGAAATTGTCGAGGGTGATCAAAGGGGTTTCAGACTCCGACGAATGAACACACAGAGTAAACACACAAACGTTCGCACAGTGTGCAGTATGCTTCTTGAAGAGTAAGGACCTCGTGTGGATGGCAAAAGTTAAAACTGATTGCAAGAACCAGCGAAAAAATGTGCAAAACATTATGTTCTATACGATCTCCGACCCGCAGCGATGGCGGATCAGTCTTCGTAGAGTAATTCGCTTAAGAGGTGGACTCCCATACACTTACCATAGGAATGGGTGTGGGAAACACTGTTCAGCGAATAGCTCCATCAAACAAGCTCCAAACCCACAACGGAACCCCATTAATCGATTCTTCTATATTAGTTCTCTTTGCTCTATCAGGAGCTACACTGTGGAATGTTTCTTCATTGAGAAATTGCCATACTTTGATACCTTTGGATATTCGTCTCTGAGGGAAAGTCCCTCAATATGAGAGCTATAGTATCGTTCAAATCGACGAAAATGTGCGCAATAACGCATTCTACAAGATCCGTTTCACACGCACGGGTACACGATCAGTGTTGACCAAGTTGTTGGGTTAAGAAGTACTATTTCCCCAGCATTCCCACGCACTCCAAAGAGCGTGTCACTCTTAAGCCCATCACTCTTCCAAAACCCATCCCTCAGAGGTCGGACCAGTATGAATCGATTCGCCTCGACGACTTCTATACACCCATGGAAGGACGGGTGGGTCACTTGAAATTTTGTTCTCACCACGCGCAACACGTTTTCGGTCAATTACTCTGTCAAAAAGCACTACTCAGAGCTCGGAAGAACATGAATCGATTCGCCTCAATGTGCTCTATGTGCTCCTAGAAGGGCAGAGGGGTCGCTCGAAATTTTTGTTCCAGCGCCGTCAATGTGTCAACGCGTTTTGGTCAATAGCTCGGTCAAAAAGCTCTACCCAGAGCGCGGAAGAGCATGGATGAAATCGGCTCATCGAGCTCTGTAAGCTCCTAGAAGGACGCGGTCCTGGTGCGAAATTATCGTCACTGCGAAAACCGGCTAGACACATGGAAACATTCAATCACTTGAGCCCATATCTCGGTCAAAACGCGTCGTACAGAGATGCGGATGGCAGCGTTGTAATCCTCTCATCGAGCTCTATATGATCTCAGAAGGACAGGGACGTCGCTCGAAATTTTTGTTTCACTGCGTGCCACCGTGTTTCGGTCAATGGCTCGGTCAAAAGGGGCTGTCGGATCTCTGTACTTATTGACTATGATTTCACGCCAGTCCCAAAAACTCTGTCGATCCCAGCATTCCTGTCCCACATAACTGCTACACGCCCATCATCCTCCCTCCTCGAGAAATACCGCACCCGATGGAACGGAATAAAGTCCTCCCCTTCCACACCGTCCTCGCGATATTTTGCAAAGTCCACAAAAGGAATCTCCTGCACTCCCGAAAACCGATCCAGGTATCCTACAATGTAATCGGACGCGTTCATACTCGAATCCCACAGAATTCGATTGAACACGTCCGCGGAGGATCGAAGATACTTTTTGGACGAAGATTCTTCCTCGTCGGATTGTGCACGACGAAAACCGGGACTGGTCGATTTCTGCTTCTTTATGCTCTTCGTTTGGGCGGCTTGAGAGGTTTTGGGTTCGCTAAGCTGATGTAGTCTGATACCATCCTTGAGATCATCCTGGAAGCCAAAGAGTTCTTGTTCAAACGCTTCATGTCTAATAATACCAGCGGTTATCTGGTAGTATCGGTACTGGTCTGATGGAAGATTTACGAATCGTCGGAAAAGAGCACCGATAAAGTCCGTCAGCGTTTTACTGACACCCTCAAGCCGT